CCTACTAAGTACTTCCAAGAATGCTGATGGAAAATTTGTTTTTGAGCTGACAATTTTGCTGTAACAGCAAAGCATCAAATCCTGACAAAAAGATTCCAGTCATCTAAACTTTCTGGAATGCCCTGAATAGTAAGAAGTCTGAATTTGTTTTGTTTTTAAATTAGGCCTGAAAAGTCACCATTTATCTAGTCACTTGGTTCAGGTACAAACTGCTTTCAGATGATCAGGTTTACAAATGCTTTACAAAAATTGCTTCTCCGTTTCTTTGGGCCCCAACTAAAGGAGAGGTGTCACCGGGGGTATAAACCATGTAACAGAGTCCAATGGAGTCCACTGGATTTGGGCGGCTAATAAAGCTAAATAAATAAATAAATAAATAAGCAAATAATCTTATAGATAACAGCTTTAATAAGTATGCTGGGTAAACGTACGGTGATAAGAATACTGAAATTTTGCACCTTCAAACACTTTTAACCATCTTATTAGGACAATGTTTTTGGTTTCAACCATTTCCACCTCCATTTGAAAAGCTGCCTTGCCACTGAACGTAAAATAAGAGGTCTGTAAACTCTATTCTACGAGTTAAGCTTCCTGTATGGTTTTGTTTCTCTTTGTAAATATCCAGTAACCTTGACAGAATACATGGGCCAAATGGTGGGTGGGGAATAAAAACAAGGAATAAAACCATCTTCAGTAGCATTAGCTCTGAAGTGAAAGGCCAGCATTTTTTTCCCCAACCACATTTCTAGTCATTGGTTCTGGGTAAATTTGGTTCCTCTTTTCCTGATAACTACCACACATATTAACTTTCAATTTTATAGCACAATGACTATAGAACAGAACCATCTTTTTTCTTTCCTCCATTTTCCCAAGGGTTAATTGGTGAATTAGAATAGGGTTTTTTTCCTAGTTCTCCCTTTAAAATGTAAAAACAGCCTTCAGCCTCCTTCTGAGAAGGAGGAACCCTTTTAGCTATTCTCAAAATGTAGAACTTCGCTGTGCACGTTTCTAAGTGGTTTGGTGCATCTAACCATGGAGTCATTAAAAGCAGTACAATATTCATGTTCAGAAACAACCATGGCAGCTTCTTCCACTATAAAAAATTTATAGAAGCTCTGATTCCACTCCACATCTTTTCAGGCTGCACTAGGGAATCGGAATGTGTTTTGACATCTGAGTTTCACCAGGATAACATTCGGTAGATTTCTCATGAATGGAAAGGCACAAAAATTAAATGGTCGTAAATCAACTGTCACCTTTCCAGATGTAAACGACGTACTTATGCGTGCAGGGGGTGACTCTGCAGCACAAATGCCATGAGTGACCCAGAATTAAGCAACCATTTAATTATGGTTTACTGATTAAACCTTAATTGCTTGGGATTACACAACACACTAACCACATGAAGGTTTAAGACGATATGGAATCCAGCCTGTCTTTAAGATCCTTTAAAGATTCCTCTTTACCAAAACATTTTTTGGCTTCCCTTTTGTTACCAAGTTTCAGATTTGTCTTGTTTTTACTTGAGAGATTTTTCCCTTTTAGAAATGATGAAGTAATTGTTCACCTTCTCAGGCATGAGGCAATTAACCAACAGAAACCAGCCATGCAGAAACAAATACATGAACCACCCAGCTTAGATACAAATTTGCAACGGGTTATGGAAAAGAATGAGGAAGTGAGGCCTTGCATTCTGGGAAACCTCAGCTGGCATTGCATTATCTGATGGCCTTGAGTTCTTGCTCCAGAAATTGTGAAATATTATGACACTAAAGCATCAAGGTCTTCTTTACCATAATCTGCTAGAGACACTTTGGAAGCTAGCCAATTCCAAGTGGCTTTCTAAAGACTAATGTTTTGGGGAAACTGAACAAAAGATCCTTCCTTATGATATTCTGGTGCATGCAGTTTGGCTGACCATGAAAAGCAAGAGGATGAGGAGAATGATTACACCACATAGTATGAACCAGCAAACAGCTGGAGTAGAATGTGGAAAGTCCAAGAGGATGAGAACGTCCACTAACAATCCACATGTTAAAGGTACAAGACACAGAAGAACTTATTAAGAGGAAGTGGGCTACTAAGGAACTAGGAACTGGGAACAAATGAAGTTCCCTTCTTACATTCATCTCCTGCTTTTCTCCCACAACGGAAGTTGCAACACTTCCATGGAAGAACTCTACAGGGAATACATACAGCTGTACCATGCATTCAGTTCCTGGCCTAGGCCTTTCCTGACCGAGTCATGAAACCCTGAGTTGTGGAAATTATACATATACAGCAACTGGACCCCACCTCATTTATAAGAGACTCTTCTAAGGCCAATATCTACAGTACATAAGGCAAGACACGTTGGTCGGTCCTAGAGACCATGTGAACACTCACCTGTATGGGTACGCTGATGTGCTTTCAGGTGTGAACTTTTGGTATAAACCTTCCTGCACCCATTGAAGTGACACCGATGAACCCGCCTCCTCCCATCAGGAGAGGCATCTCCACTGACCAGGGTACCCTTTTCCACAGTCTTTCCACCAGTACCAGTACGGATTTTGCCAGGTGAATGCAATTCACTGGGGGCACAATTCCATGGTTGAGAAGATGGCTCCTTGCCCAGCTCAGGGGAAGAAGGAGGAGTGGAGGTGACAGATGAACTCAAGTTTCCAGCACTGGCCAAGCCTAAGACATCACTTATGAGATCCGAGGTAAATTTTGTTGTAGGAGAAAGTTCCTCGGAACTGTCTGAAGATTCGCTACTGATATCAGAATTCAAACTGTTAGTCTCTAAACTCTGGCTATTTAGGTTGTCTTCCTTTGGAGCACTTGCTGTCTTCAGTTCAGATTCCTCCTTTTTCTCTCGTGCCAAAATAATTTTGGTCCACAAATCCTCCTGACTGTCAAATTTTATCTCGGAGGCAGACACGTAGCAGGGCTCACTCTGAAGATATCGCTCCAGCTCTAAGCAGGTCTACAGAATTAAAAATACATAAATAGATATTGAAAAAATCATTCACTTCTAAGAACACTCTGAAAATTTTAGCAGAAAGCCATATGCACTCAAAGATGGAGAGTTTATTTCTGGTTGCTAGGGTACTTCAAAGTTAAAGGCCACTCAAGCTCCAACTGATGGCCGTTCCAAAAAAACAGTGTAATTCTCAAAAACCTGTCAAGAATGCAGTCAAAAATAGTAACCCAGCTACATTCTCCAGCCATTTCCCTTATGAGTTAACTAAACAGGCATCTCATAAAAAGATTTTCAGTGGGGTTAGCTTTAAGTCAATGCTACCTTCCCCCAATTTGTTTAGGTTAGTTTATTAACTCACACTGAAGGGAAAAACTCAACTGAACTTCCACCAAGTGGACAGAACTACGGTTTGCACTCTAAATTTAAGCCGCATGTGTTGTGGCCGATTTTACATCTTCCTTCCAAGCCAAGCCATTTCCTGCGCATGAGAACTCAGCCTAAGGGAGACATTCAAAGAATGTCCTTTCCAAGCACACAGGCATGAGTCTTTCATAAAATGAGGCACTTCTCGCAGAGAGAGCAGGATCATCATCAGCAAAACCCCCAGAACTCTGACAGGGCATTGAACGGAGGAGACAAAAGGAAAAAGCATGGAAAACCCCAACTTTTAAGGTCCTACCGCTGATTCCAACAATGGAGGAGAACTTTATCTCCTGGCCAAGAGTGGACTGGTATGAGTCATCCCCTTATTTCTTTCACTCAATGCCAAAGGAGACTTCCTTTTAAAAATTATGACTCTCTGCCAAGAATGTTCATGGTTCAAATCTACATGCAACAGGACAGGTTTTGTTTTTTTGTTTTTTCAAAAATCCTCCACTAAAAGACACAAACAAGACTTTGAATGGCAGAGTTTTCCCCCTTTCCTCAACCCTCCTCGACTGCTTTAGAAGTAAGGAAGCAGTGCAACCATATTGGAGCCATGACAGGAAAACATTGGCCGCACGAATCCTCTTGATCATTTGTATTGTATTCATGATCAGGTTCTAGGCAAAATTGTCAGCCTAGCATGAGCTGTCTTATTTTGGGCAAGAGTCCTTCCTCCCACAATTGTGTGAGAGAAAGAAAATGCTGCACGTCCCCCCCCCCCCCTCAGTATCAGCTTTAAGTAAATTGGTCACAGCACCCTGTTGACTTCCACATTCTCTCTCCTGACTTCCAATATTAGACATACCTACCTGGACATAAGCTTCACTAAACTCAGAGAGACGTGCTCTTAAGTAAAAGGGAAGAAAACTGGATAGTATTTTGCTACATCCGTGTTTATGGGGGAAGCACAGGGAAAGAGAAAGCAAAATAATCTCTCTCTGATCAATATTTATAGGTTCCCCTATAATGAAGAAACTGATTGCAATGCCCTTCCAACACCTTACTAAAAAGACAAGGCAAAGCTATTGACCAGCGAAGGAAATTTATAGAAACAGCAGGTTTTAACACTCAGGAATGGATTTAAATTTCCCTATTATGCAAATGAATGTTGAGGATCAGCTGGAGGGGCTAAAATGATTCTGAAGGCTACGAAGAGTCGAATCTGGATCTTAGCAAAAATCTCAGCACCCCAAGAAAAGCTACTTAGACCCATTATTAGCAGGGCTGTCCTGGAAAGAAGGGGGGGGGGGAGAAGAAGGGAGAGAGCATGTTGTGGGGAAGACCAACCCCCAGACCTGCAAAAGGTTGGTAAAGCTTTCGATTTCAACCTCCAAAACTGGCTTCCAAGCATTACAAATCGAAACCCAGATGAATTCAATTGGGTTAGAGAGAACAATCATCATAGTATGGAGAAGAGGCATGGAAACATGCCTTCTTCTCAACCCCCACCCTCAAGGAAAAATCCAGAGCAGGGCAAAAACATTCTCCAGGCAATTCAATGACACGGACTTCAAAAAAAAAAAAAAAAAAAGAAGGGGAGGAGGTGTTTTAAAAAAAGCTGTCCATGATCCTGCCATAAAAATAGTACAGTGCTGGAAGAGATGATTCCCCCCCCCCATTTTGGGGGAGGATTTTCTTGCGGGGGGGGGAAGGAGGAGAAGTACGGAAAACAACTCTTTCCAAACACAAAACTGTTTGGATGACCAGTTCTCCTTATAGCAATTGGCTTGGCTTCAAGGGGGGGGGGAGGGAGGAGAGAGGGGAACTTTTTTTTTTTTTGGCCAAGAATCGCAAATCGGGCAAATCGCAGAAACTTGGGAATTCGGTTCGGTTCTAGTGTATGATTTATCGAGAGCCTCCAGCGCTCGCTCGAGCGGCTGAGAGTCCCATTCAGGCGAGCGAGCAAACGAGCGTTCAAAAATACACCCAGCCGCTACTCACAAGTTCTGACAGCCACGGTCGGAATAGCAATGCGCCGAGGAGGGGGGACGAGAAGCACCGCGCAGTAGGGAAAGAAGGAAACGCGTCCTCGCTTTGCCAACGGTCCTGATGCAAAGAGCCCCCCCCCATGCAATTCAAAGGCGATCTGTCCCCGAAGCTTCTTCCCTGACCCAGGCAGATAAAAACATTTTTTTAAAAAAAAAACAAGCGCCGAAGCCCCAGCAGGCTTGTGGTTCCCCCATGTTAAGCCCGAAGGGGCTGCAAACAGCCCATCCTCCTTTACCTGTTGCCAGTATTCCTCCAGAGACGGCAAAGCGGAGAAGTAACCCGTGTCGTGCACAATTTGGAGTTCCTGAAAGATGCTGCACATCGGAAGTACATCCATGCCTTTCGTGGGG